TTTTGAGAGGCAGACAGGGAGAGAAGCAAATAGAGCGCTCCTATCCACTGGTTCACTCCCCAGATGCCTTCAGTGGCCACTGGAGGGGGCTGCTGAAGCCAGGACCTGGAAACCAAGTTCATCTCCATGTGGGTGGCAGAATTACTTGAACCATCACTCCTGCCTCCTGGAGTCTGCATTAGCAGGAAGCTTAAGTCCAGATCCAGAGCCAGGAATTGAACCCATTTCAAACATAGGTCAAACAGCCCCCCCAGGGTGAGTCCTTTAAACATTAATACTGGTGAAGACACTGAAATAGCTGTCCGTCCCTGCTATGTCAATGAAATAAAAAATAAGAGCTGCAGAATCTGGCTCATACACAATCATGTGCAATCAACAGCAGACTGCATATATGCTGGAGCTGGAAAATTGCCCTCACCTGGTGACACCACAGCCATCACGATATCCTAGTGTGACAGTACTCTTGTTTGTGTGATACTGATGACGATACATCTACTGCACTACTGACATAAAAGTATAGTATACATACATGCAGTATGTATAGTTCATAACACTCGATAATAAACAACTGTTACTAATTTATGTATCTGCTATACTATCATTGTTAGAGTGCATTGGTTCTACTAAAAAATGTTTACAGTGAAACAATGTCACATGTTGCCAGTCTGATGTATGCTATCTAGGTTTGTGTTAAGTATATTCTCTGATGTATACAAAACATTGAAATTGCCCAATGATGCAGTTCTCAGAACATACCCCCTGGCTAAGCAATGCATGAATTAACTATTAAGGTTGTTAAAATAAATATACCATACTCTTAAAAAATAAAAAGGTACTCACTTTTTCTAGCAATTATTATAATTAGGATAAATCCCTATATAGGTGGATTTGAACAAGGACTGTTCTACCTGATGACAAAGGATCCCTTCTGCAGGATCCTTTTAGCCTCTTCTCTAAAATTAACAGAGCAACTCAGGGCCCAGATTTTATTGTGCTAATTCTGAAGTAAGATGCTGCCATCTAGTGTTTGTTACTCTCACACACAACAGCCTCCACAACACTGATCTTACTAGGATACCCCAGTAAGGTAGTCTTTGTCCTTTAGGAGGCCAAAATAGACCTAAATGTCGAATCCACACAGAAAATGGAACCAATATTGTGTACTGAATTAGAATATCCTTTTTAAGAATGTAAGAAAAGCCAGTACAGTGCTGAGACAGAGAACCCAGAGTCTGCTTGCACCATACATGGGTTGCCTATCAAGGAGGGCTAACAGAACACACAGGGAACTTGTTCTGTGTGCATTTAATGGTATGCAGAGGCCCACATGGTTGCACAGGCAGGGAGAGACTATCTATCAAAGTATGAGTCAATTTTGTAATGCTGAGCATTGTCTACTGTAGGCAGTTTCTGGCCATTGGGAGGAGATACATAAAGGCCGGACTGCTTTGTGGGAAAAGTAAAGAAGGCATTTAAGCTACCAAAATGGTTGAGTGAAACAGTCATTACATTTCTTTTTATCCTAGACTGAGTTCCTCAGAGGTTGTGGCCTATGTTACCCAAAGTGGCTAGTATGTGGTAGATAATGAATGGATATAGTCACTTACAATTTCCATGAAGGAAGAAAACTAGCCCCAATAAAAATTAGACAAGAAAGAATAAGAGCAACTCCTGACATCTGAACACCGGCCTGGTCCTCCTGGCTGAGCCATGTTATTCTATTGACCTTAAATTCTCTCACAGAAGACCAACCTCAGACAAGGCTACTCTGAGACCACAACAAAATGAGACCAAACAAGAACACTTAATAATTATGTCTAACCACAGACAAAAACAAGGTCATTCTGTCACCCCCAGGACACCAAACATCCCTTCTTTCAGCCAAAATCACTGGTTGTGTCTCCTTTACCAGAGATAGCTTATCCTCAGCTAGTCTTCTCTCCTCTAGATCAACTTTACAGACATGCCACATCATAGAATTAATCGAGTGCAATCCCAACTCCTTAGAGCCCCCTAAATCTCTGAACCAAACCTCAGATCCTATGGTTGCTCTGATACCCTTTCACTGGGATACCACGTAGTCCTCCCTGGTGATACAACACGTGATACACCTGACTGGCTTCATGTCCAGGGCTAAACTACCAGTCTTTGGCTGAATGGTACAGACTAATACCAAGGGAAAAATAACTCAAATGTATTATGAGGTTCTGTGATAGTTGTACAAGTCTGCATGGATTCCAAATGTTCTTTGATAAACTTATGTTTAAGTCCATTTTCCACAAACTTTTTGAAGTACCTTTGTATAATACCTGGTGACACTGAGGCTTAAACGATGTATAGGTATTACTTCACCAAAATCCCACAACCCTCTGGGGTTGGCATATCATCCAGTGTTACAGATGAGGAGACAGAAGCACAAAGAGGTTAAGTAACCTCCCCGAGGTCAGACAACTGGTAAGTGGCACAGTGAGAAATCAACCTGTACATGTGACTCCAGAGCCCATGCTTCAAATGAAGAGTTTTCAAGAGAGGAGGGAGGAATGTGAGTGTGTGTCCCAGGGGTGGCAGGAAAGCATGAGTGAAGGCAGGGAGACAGGAAAGAATCCCTCCACCTTACAAGCATCTTCATTCCTTTATAAGCTGTATAAAAACCTATAGAATCCATTTTCCTCTCTCCATGTAACCACTTAGTGTTGGTTCCAGTTTCTTTACAATTGACCCCTAGGGCAAGGTGCAAGGGTTGGGAGCAACACAGTTTGAATGACTTTGATTTTGCCATTGAGTTTTAATGATTGAAAAAATGTTCCAGCCTGCCTCTACCCATACCTTACTTTTCTCATCTCCCCGAGGCCTTGTATGGCACAGACGGACGTGGCCAGGGGGCCACAGAACCATCCTTCCACTTCACACCAGCTCCGTATCCCAACATCATTCCTCGGAGACGCCTCCTCCAGGTCCCCAGGATAGGTGAGACCCCTGTCACAGGCTCTCACAGAGCCCTGCACTTCCCCTGTCATAAAGCGCACATCACTCCTGGTACGGTTTGATCTGTCCTGCTGGACTGGCAGTTCTCTGAGAGCACAGGCCACGCTGGACTCGTTTACTGCCTGGCACAGCTGAACTGGAAGGGGAGCGGGGGCTCTGACCAGTGGCAGAGTTTCAAGGAAAGCCAAGTCAATTCTTTTTCCTTTCTACTGAAGTCCTTGCTTCTTTTCTCTCAATTGTGATCCCTGCTCATGTACTTTCTTGACCCAAACTCAAGAACCATCCCCAGTCAGGTCAGATGCTGCCTAGAGAACTCTAGGTGTGCTTCATCTAGTCTTTTTTCTTTTACAACAGCCTGACTGGTCTTTCATGAACTTCACCTCCGAAAAGGAACCGTCCCCATCTGGTGAGTTAGCCAAGGCCACACCTAGTCTAGTAGCCAGAAATAAAACCACATCAGTTGGCTCCCTAGTTGGCGCCAGATTTCTTAAAGGAACACAGGAGAGGGAATGATCACTGAGGTCACTGATCATCCAGGTCACTGATCCTTTGGGAGCGTTAATCAAACGCGGCTTGTAATGCCTGCAGCTGCCAGGTGTTATCTAGGAAACATGAACGTGTAAGGAGCCCTTCAGGCACTCATATTAAAAAAACAAAAACAAAAAAAAACACACACAAGTGTAGTCTGCATTTATACTTAATGTTGCAAAAAATGATCTCATTCAAACCAGGGGGTGTGACTCTCCTAACCGGGTTTACCACAGTGGCACCAGCCCCAGTCAGAATCAGTCCTAACCTCTCACAGAGGGCACAGCAAAGCTAAGCAGCTGCAGACAACACCAATTTTTTCTGGCATAAAACTTATGTTCTCATCTTGTGAGAAACCACTTAAAAAGGAGTACAACCAGGGCTAAATTCTTGAGATACGCAGCCACACAGAGAAGAGTTCAAATGAAAGCCAAGTCTCTAATCTGCAGAGTTAAAGAATGAAAAGTCAAGCAATTAAATCTGAAAAAATGGATTACATAATCTCATGGGGGGGCAGTTTGGATCTCGTATAGCAAGGAATTCACTGTCTGGGTGGTAGGCACACCTCAAGCATCTTTTTACCTGGGATGGATTAAGCACAGCTCAGTGTAGGAATGGAAGGGGAAGGAGGGAGAGCCAGCTTCCATCCTAGAGTTAATGAAGACATGAGACGTAAAACAACTTGGCCAAAAAGTGAAGGTTAAAAGATGAACTTTGAAATCTTTCTTATTTAGGGCTCCTCTCTCCCAGTGTATCCCACTCACACGAATCGAGCAGCCCCATTATAACTGGGTAGTTCATATTTCTTCAAAACATTCCTTTGCTCCACCTGTGTTGCCCCAAGCACTGCCATAAAATTATCCACAGGGAAGTGAGATGGCTATCTTATTTCACCAAAACTCTTCCTGCATACAGCACAAAACAAGTAAAATTACTTTGTTACAGTTGCTAATGAAATACCTTTTGAGAAAGCTGTCATTTTTTCTTTCTTTACTATTTTTTCATTACCTTTTATTTTTCTCCTTTATAAGCACAGAATGCATGATTTCATTTAGGTATTGATTATCTCTGTTAAGCAAAAGAAAGACTTAATAAAAAAATAAATAAAACACCCTTCTCCAAGGACAGAGGTCAATCTAGGGACTCAAGTCCAGCGAGGCCACAATAACTGTTTCTTTGCAGCCTGGACCTCAAGTACCTGAATGGCCTAGGAACAAAATTTGCAAAGATGTTATTCTGCTACATCATCAAAACTTAGCTGCAATTTTATCACAATGAGTCTTAATGAGTCCCACATTCCAACACACTGGGGGCACGATTTCAGCTAATGGAAAACTTGTTTCCACAGTGAACCTTGACCATTCCGTCCTTCAATTCTTTCAGATCTACAATTAGGACATTTTTGAGACCTTACTTGTTGGCCAACTGAACTTCAAAGATTAAACGGAATGTTTAGCTTGCTTCAACAGGAACGACTGTGGACATACCGGAATGGCTGGAGGCTGGATGGACTGCGGGAAGCACGCTCCTCGGGTGAGTGCAGACATGCCCTCCAGAACTACTCCGCTGAGCCAGGGGGGCACACCAAGAACAAAGATGCTGCAGGTGCCAGGCCTTCATCTGTTCTGGAATTTTCAATAGCACAGAATAAATGATCTTCCCCACAGGTTGGCTCATGATGACTTAGACTGAGAACAAGAGACCTCCCCCATCTCTAAATGGGGATATAAGAGTCACAGGCAACAAATTTTTTCAGGGTCCACTGAGTTTGAGCTGTCAGTTTAGTACTGAAAATGCAAGGTGGAGATGGGACACAAAAACCACAGAAACATGGGGCATATAGACGACCCAGACTGGCTACGCAAAGCTTTAATCACCACAGATCAAACAAACATATTCACATATCAAAAACGGCTCTAAATTCTTTATTATCATTACTAACAATACTGTATAAATGAAATTTTATGCAAATACAAAACCTTCTTGCTTGTAACTTAAAAGATTTATGAAACTTTTTATAAACCCATTTTTTTTTTTACCCTGAGGCTAATATCACCAAAATAAAAAACGAAAGTCATTACCAGCTGGAAATTATTCAACGCAGAGTTTTTAAAACTACTTATCATTAATCTGGAATGGCTTCCCTTCACTCTCCCACCCACACTAGGTGATGGCCAGAGGGAAAGAACGCAAACGGCTGTGTGTGTCCAATCTTCTTATATACCATCACATGATTCTCAACTCAATCTACTGATCAAAGCAAAGAAATACAATTGTAATATTAGGTTAACTCAACATTATTGTATTTTAAAACAGGTATCAAAATCAATTCTTTCCCATAAAGGGGTAACTAACCCACAGTACGAGCTCAGACAAGAGCAACGGCACACCACTTTCTCACAATGGCCACTGCAGTGCATTCTACTTCATATAAACCAAGTATGTGAGTAAGTTTCCACTGCCTTGCAAATACTTAACTCTGGGCTGCTAGTCACTTTGAGATAAGATCTGTGCCACATCTAAAAGAAAAGCAATTCTCAAATGTTACAAAAGTTATTCATGTGCTGAGAGAGGTATACATGTTAAATTGAAAGAAAGAAAAAAAGCCATGTTGAAGAGGGAACTTTTTTATATGTAAATAAGAAATAGAACAAAAAGATTTTTAAAATCTGAATTTCTAATTCTCCAACATTATTGCTTGCGAATGAGCCTAGAGCCATTGTCCTACCTCTCACAAGGTAGCCTATTGACACTGCCTCCAAATATTTTCATGCTGATCGCTGCATGTTTTTAAAATATGCTCTTTCTAAATATTCACAGCACTTGATCTAAACTGGCAGCTAGTCTGCACATCTGAGCCAAGAAATCCCTTGCCACTTTGTCTCAAAGTACCCTACAAGCAGTATCTTATGTACTATTTACCTTCCACTGCACAATTACAGGTATTCTGGATTGTAAAACAAGTTTTGGGGTATATAACACCTAAAGAATTACCATTCCTAATCCCATGATGCCTTCCCAATTCAAATGATTGAACAAAAAATACAGGCATGTATATATAAAGAATTGTTTTTTAGGAGTTAAGTTCCTAACTCAGTCAAAATGGGATGAGTTTAACAAAGAGAAAATCTAGTACTAGAAAGAGTAACAGAAAGGTTTTCTAGGGGCCGGCATTGTGACATAACAGGTTAAGCCACCGCCTGTGACAGTGGCATCCCATATAAGCACAGGTTCAAGTCCTAGGGCTCCACTTCTGATCCAGCTTCCTGCTATGGTCTGGGGAAGCAGCAAATGATGGCCCAGGTGCTTGGGCCCCTGCACCCAAAGGGGAGACTTCAAAGAAGCTCCTGGCTCCTAGCTTCAGAGAGGCCCAGCCTTGGCCATTGCAGCCATTTGGGCAGTGAACCAACAGATGGAAGACCTCCTCCCCCACCCCACCTCTCTTTTAAATAAATAAAATAAACATTAAAAAATTTTAATTAAAAAAAAGGCTTTCAGATACAGGCTTGATACCAGTGCCCTCTTTTTCATGTAGAATTATGGAAAATCAATGTGCAAAAGACTTTTTAACAATTATACAGCAATTCTCCATAGGATACTTGCATTAACTGTACAACATTCCTACTGAGCAGCTCTCTAGCCCCTGCTAGAAGACCATTAGATGCAGGAAGCTGTTCCAATATGATTTACTCTTCTTTATAAGAGAATAACAAAACAGATGGAACAAGTAAACAAATTTCCATAAATAAGATTATGCATTGTATCCAACTTTTCTAGATTTAGTAGTCAATTGCTACTCAAAAAAAGAATACTTGTTGCAAAGATTCTATGCTTTCTGCAATGATTTAAAATAGGGATGGGGCTGGCGCTGTGGTACACTGGGTTAAGCCATCATCTGCAGTGCAGGCATCCCGTATGGGTGCCAGTTCAAGTCCTGGCTGCTCCACTTCTGATCCAGCTCCCTGCTAATGTGCCTGGGAAAGCAGTGGAAGATGGCTCCTTGCACCCATGTGGGAGACCTGGATGAAGCTCCTGGTTCCTGCCTTTGGCCTGGCCCAGCCCTGGTTGTTGTAGCCATTTGGGGAGTGACCTAATGGATGAAGAGTTTTCTCTCTGTCTCTCTCTCTCTCTCTGTAATTCTGATTTTCAGATAAATAAATAATCTAAAATAAAAAAATAGGGAAATACAACTTAGTAATGTAAATTTTAAAAATCATTGTTGAATAACTGTGTGCTCTGGGGGAGCAAATAAAAACACTGTAGGGACTCCAAAACAAAGGGAAAATAAGTGTTTTGAATAAAAATTTCATTTTGAAGATGGAATAAACAGCTTTCACAGCCAGTCTTGCAGAATTCAAGAGCCCAGGTGGAGGAACAATAGGTTAGTTACAGTCTGCAGCAACTGTCAACTCAGAAGGAAGAGAGAAGAGGAGGCCATGAGCAAGTGTGAGGATGCAACCTGCTATTCTAAGGCAATGGGGCACCCGGCTTGTGTGGCAGCACTGCCAGTAATGTTGTTCTGATTTCTCTCCACCCACTCTGAGTGTTTCGGTTAAACCACACCTTCAGAAGACCAACAAAGCAACATGTTGACTGGCAGACAATGACACCAGAGTTCAGTCTACAAAGGATCAATTCCTCTAAAGGGACACACTTATGTCTGTATTTTTATGCTCTGAACATGAGTGTATGTGCTGTGTCTACGTGAACTAAAATCACTTACCCTGACGACATTCATGTAAACTTTAATGACTCTAAATGACCATGTTAAGTGAGACTCAGCTGATTTCATTGTAAATAGGGTCATTTACTCCTAGGTGTTAAAATGACAATGATATCAATTTTTAACAGATAAGACTATGAATAATGGACAAAAACAAAACAGCAAAAACCAACCTTCAGTAAGTCTTTTTATATGGAGGCCACTTTTCATATCTGTTTCAAAAGTATCAGATAATTAACATTTAGTGGCTAGATGACAGAGGAGCAAATCTTCCTGCAAAAAAGAATAAAACTTCCTTGACCATTGAGATTTGGAAATGAAATCAATGAAAGTCTATCAAGTACTCAGGATAGATTTGGTTGGCATCAAAAACCACAAAGATCTTTGGGTTCCAGGTATCATCCACACAGCTGTCATATAAATTCACATAGCTCCCATCTTTGGAAGGAGGTCGCATGTATTTGGAGTCTCCGTTTATGTAATCTCCAATTAGCACTCGAGCAAGAAACATAGACTTATACGTTCTAAACAGATGCCGCTGTTGCAAGCTGACACCATGAATTTGGAATGTGTTTCCATGCTTTATGTCATCTTTGCAGAAGCGACTGGAGTAAGCGGCATCTCTAGCAAAATAGGTTCCTTAAACAAAAAGGACCAGAAAAAAAAAAAAAAAAAGCCAAGATTATTCCCAAGAATATATTAAACACAAACAAAAACATTCTAATTGTCAGGAGACTAGTCAACATGGAATCGTAATAAAAATAGGTGTGGAATCTCCTCAACTGCAGCTCTCTCAAAGAGGAGGAGAAATCATCTGTGAACAGCTGCACTGCAGACTGCCACAGGGTAGATCTGCTGGTACGGGCCAGTCCTCACCACCGCCACCACCCCCACAGCCCCCCACCAAAAGGTAACAACCAGATTCTGTTTTCAAAAGAAATCTTACAAAGAAGCCAAATAAACAAAACAGATAAAAACTGCTGCGTGATTTAGAGTGTGGCAGGGCCTGAATTTTTACTGCTAGGACCCCCTTCCCATTTCTATTTCCTTCTACTGCTCTCCTTATCTGCTACTCCTGCCCAACACCCAGCAAGGCCCTGGAGAGCACAACTGGTACACTGCTTGTGTTGAGTCACCTCAGAGATAATTTCCAACCGCAGGAAACTCGATCTCTACGATTCACGGATATTACTCTAAGTAACTGAACCCCATGCCCAGGACCAGATTTCTAAGGGAGTGTAATGCTGGTCGCATGGGAACATTCCAAAAGAACGCCTAAATGTGAAAGCTCTATAAAGCAGCAGCAGATTCTCGTGCAACGGGGGACCTGAGCAATCGACAGTACTAAGGAAACACCTGTTCTAAAAATCTTTGGAAATGAATATTGATGGAACTTGGCTAACGCTTTTCTGACCCTCTTATTGTAAATAAATGGGATGGCCATTTCAGTAGTTAACTTCCTCCTCTGGCTGGAGGAAAGGGAACAGAGTAAGGGCCATCTCTTTTCGCCTCACCATGGGTAGTGTGCATAAATTGAAGTACTTGAACTTGTACATTAGAAATAAAGTGAGGTTGTCCTTCACTATTCCTTACAGCTTGTTAATACTGTTACTTATTTTCAAAAAAAAAAAAAAAAAACAACACAGAAACACTAGTATCTGTATCAGTGCACAACATAATTAATTGTTTTGTCCTTCCCTTTTGCTGTAAAGTAGAGCAGGGCTTATACATGGGAATTAAATACAATGCAACAGTCTCCAATAGGGACATGCTACCCCACCTGGCCGCCTGGGGCTGGGGGAGCTCTGGCAGAGGTCTGAGAGTCCTCCTTGCATCTACACAAGTACGAAAGACTCGGGAACTCTGAGGGCTCAGAAACCAGCCAGGAACTTCTAACCTAATGCCCACCCAATCCCTGAAAGCAAAAAACAAGCAAATATCTCCAAAACGGGAAATTCCTAAGACTCAAATTGGACCTGGAATTCTTATCATTACCTTTTCCAAAGAGAGCACCATGTATACCATTTATTCTCCAATCAAAGTTATGAATGCAAATTGCTTCCACAAATTCACTGCTGGTACCATGAAATAGCATTTGTTCATTAATCTGAGGCACACCTCTCCTTTTCTTGAGCTGAGCCTTTTTCCTAAAACAACAACACAAATAGACAAGAAAGCACACAAAAAAATATACTATAAATGGCACATAATTTCTAAGGAGCAAAGTTCAAGAGAAATGGTGAAACAGAAAACATTGCTTTACTATAAACCAAAAGAAGGCAACGCAACTCCAGAAAAAGAAATAATTTCAAATGCTCTTGGACAAAAGAGCGTACATCATCTCATCAAAAAATTTTAGTCAACATTGAGACTTAAGGTTGGAAATTACACTCAAAACTATAGTTGTCCATTCCACAGCAAAGGTGATGGATTGACTTAACCAGTTAAACTATAAACGCCTGCAAATGAGACTACAAACTGTGAAATGAAACAAAGTTCACAGAGACTTTAGACAATGAATTCCTTGGGCAAGGGCCACATCTTATTCTACTCATCCCCAGACAGTGGGAAATGCTGGTTGAACTATCTGGAACAATATGGCTGCAAGGGACAGTAACTCATTCAGTTTAAGCCTCTTCCCAGTGGACAAACCCCTTCTAAGGCATAAAAGGATGACATTCAATGGCAGGACTGACAGTAACAGAAAAAACTGAAAACAACCCAAAAGTGTTTCTAGATCTTTATATTTTTATCTTCCACATTTATATTACAAATGTAAAAAGTAATGAATTATCCATGTGCATTAAAACAGTAATTCTTGAAAAATAATACTGGATGGAAAAATTATGCTACAAGAAAAGATATATATCTCAAATACTAGTATATAGGTATACATACCTAGATGGCAAAAAAGCATATATATACATGTATGTATAAAATATGGACAAGAAGGGCCACACCAATCTCAGAAGAAAGAAGGAAAGCAGGATGGGGCAGGGTAAACAACGCACCTGTAACTGCAATGTTTTGCATTTCTAAAAACAGGATGTGAATGTGAAGAGTATTAAGATGTTAAATCTGACAAGTAGATATGTGAGTGTGTTTAAACTATGTGCTACATTTTCATGTTTTAAATATTTCAGTGAAAAGATGATTTAAGACTAAACGCTCTCCTCATCACCCTGACAGCTATCCAATATCTGCTTCCAGAGTGTCAAAGACTCCCTCGCTGCCTTGCAAGGCGGCACAGCGTACGCGTGATCAGCTGCAGCTGTAAGGATGCACATCTCTCCCAACACAGGACCCGAATCTGCCCTCCCACGGGGGTCTCACTTATTCTCTCCTGAACACAGAACAATTCTAGTCACTCCTACATAAAACAACTCTACAGACAGCCAAAAATAACTATGGACACCCACCTAGACTTTCTTCTAGAGGTTAAATGGACAGCATTCCCTGAACAACCCTTGATACTGCATAGCTTCCAGGCCTTTCTCCTAGCTGGACAGTCTTTGGTTCACAAGAATCTGCTGGACACTTTTCTAGTTTATGAATGCTGGTAGGAAACAGAAACAGAGCCCTGATACCATCAGACAGCACCACCTCTACCAGCACCTCTATTTGTTTTGTAGCCATGGCATCAAGCTGCTTATATGGGTGTGTTGTCCATCAGATCTCAGAGTTTGCTGTACTTGCACAACTGATTTATAAACCCAAAGCTTACTGATTTCAGTCGAATTTTATGCTAGTAATTTAAAAAGTAAAAATGAAACAACACAGTAACTATCCATTTCAGATGGATGGACGGTATACATAACACACAGTTAGTGAATGCTCTGGCTCTTAATGAGGGAAATGCACCATGCAGTCTTTCTATGTGTACGCTTTCAACTACTGCATAGTCTTTTCAGATCATTAAGCAAGACATCAGAAAGGATGTGCATGAAGCAAACACCTACTTCAAAAGAAGAACACATATTCACTAACAAATTACACCAACTTCCTTTACAGAACTTAACGTACTATCTCATTTTTTTAAAACAATACACATGTGTCCCTTTAATAACTAAGAAAAAAATTCCTTTAAAAAATTAAAGATACTTATTTTAACCCAAATATTTGATAACACTTGTTTCAACCTTCCAAGGTCTGGATGCCTGATTCACTCACACAACAAAGAAAGTACACTTTCTGGTTAGGAATCTTTCCTCAGTGTGATAGGGAAGGCTGCTACATTCCTGATAAAAAACACTGAAGAACTCAAGAAGAAGGCACACAGGCCACTGAAGTCGCCCGCTGTGAAAGCCTTCTCACCTCAGCCTGTGGACTTCTCTCTGTACTAACATGGGCACACAGTTTTCCACCTCGTCTCTATCAGGACAAACTTTCAACTGCTGGATACAAACCAAGTTAGACTACAGAATATACCACTGTATCAGTACAGTGATCCCATGAGTTAGTTTGTCATTTGTGAATCCATACTGGTTTTTCTTCAAGTTTAAATATAAATATTCATATTACTCAAAGGCAGAGAGAGAAAAAGGGAGAGACAGGCAGAGGGAGACTCCCATCTGTTATTTCACTCCTCAAATGTCCACACTAGCCATGGCTGGTGAAGGACCAAAGCTAGGATCCAGGAACTCAATCTGGTCTCCCAAGTGGGTACTAGGGATCCAACTACTTGAGCTATCACATGCTACCTCCCAGAGTGCACTTAGCAGAAACCTGGAATTCGGAGTAGAGGTGAGACTTGAACCGAGGCACTCAGATGTGGGATGCAGGATCCCAAGTGGCATCTTTACTACTGTGCCAAATACCTCCCCCCCATTCCTTCTAATGTCAAGCTTCATGGTCTGTAATGATTAGAATTTACTCTGAAACTCAGGATGTTGTTACTACTTTGCAAGCACAGATTAAACTGAATACTGGTTTAACAAGTCTGTCAGATCCCATCAATGGACTGTGGGTTAGTTAACAGCCTGGAGGGTGGGCACAGCAGGCACTGAAAAGCAGCCTGGTTACTGGACTGGACAAAGCACACAAGAGCACACACCAGCTGAAGGCAGAGCAAGGTGGGGTGCTTAGAGCTGTGCATCTCTGCAACACAGTTTATTCCGGTGCCCACTATAAAGGCACCCAAGAAATGAAGGCACTCAGACTCTAACTCAGATGTTCTAGAAAGGGTCAACTTGAACTTCAGGGCCTGTTGAAATTCAGTTAAAACTGCAAGGAAAGCTGTAGTGGACAACCACACTAAGTTCTTCCCAATCTTGCTGATCTGCCCAAACCCACATTCAAACTGATGAAAAGTGGCAGCTGCTTTTCAGGGGTCTCAAAGTCACCACCCCCACATAAGGGTTAGAGAACCAAAAGGCTCAACTGTCATGCCACAGCTCACAGCTCCACACTCCAGACTGAAGTCTGCCTAAGTTTAAAGCAGAGGGCCTCCATCCTAGCTGAACACAGGAACTACCTGCAGAACTCTGTAAAGCTAAAAAGTCAGGACACAGAGTTCTGACTCAAGAGCTCTGGAATGGGTGGCAGATACCGCAACTTGTTAAACGGCATCACAGAGGATTCTGAAACACAGCTGGGGTGCAGACTCTCCTCTAAGTCCACATCCTTACTGAGACAGCGGCTTTCACTGCTCTTACAGTGCCTTGTCCTTCCAAGCACTGGATCAATAAAACCATCCCCTATCCGCTCTTACATTTGTACTGCTGCAGTAAGTCACACAGCATGCCCACGGTTTCCACTACAAATGCACTTACTCCAGCTTCAGCTAAGCCTCAGTGTGACGGGAATCCTATGGTTCCCCAGGAACTCTCCTATTTCCCACAGTGGCCACTTCAAAGCTCCCCTTTCCATTCTTCCTTCCTCTCATCCCCTTGCCACTTCATTCTGCTAAGTAACTTCTCTTTTTATTTCACCAAGGAAACTCACGGGAGTAGGAAGGAGCTCCCTAACCCAATCCTCTCTGCATTCCCATCCTCTAGTTACCTATGAGCTTAACTGGACACCTGTCTACCTCCCTTCTGACATACGTAGCTGAATTCCATCCCATCACACCGTTTCAGAGGTCTTAACCCATCAGCTACCATGCCCTCTTTCTTCTACCTTTCAAACTCTCCTCTTTAATAGGCTCTTTCCAATCACAATATTATCTCCACGATTAGATTTAAAAAACCATAACACAACAAACAGAAACACGCCCCAGACCACACATTGCTTATCTTCTCACAAGTCTTATCCTCCTCATTGTGAAGCTTCTAAGAAATAGTTTTCAATGTTTGCTGTACACAAAGCCACTACCAACACTGCTTGCAGCAAGGTTAACAAAAATCTTTGCTGCAGGACTGGCGCTGTGACATAGCAGGTGAAGCTGCTGCCTGTAGCACCAGCATCCCATATGGGCGCCAGTTCGAGTCCTGGCTGCTCCACTTCTGATCCAGCGCTCTGCTGTGGCCTGGGAAAGCAGTGGAATATGGCCCAAATGGTTGGGCCCAGCACCCACATGGGATATCTGGAAGAAGCTCCTGGCTCCTGGCTTCAGATCAGCACAGCTCCAGCTATTGCCGCCAACTGAAGAGTCAACCAGCGGATGGAAGACCTCTCTCTCTCTCTCACTGCCTCTGCCTCTCTGTAACTCTGCTTTTCAAATAAATAAATAAATAAAATCTTAAAAAATAAATCTCTGCTGCGAATTCGCAAGTACTATACACACACACAATTTTTTTTTTACTTGACATATCTTCAGTATGTGACCAGATAGATGACATCTATTTGTGTAAACGACTTTCTTCCCTTAACTCTGTAACTCAACATTTTAGGAGGGAACTTCAGAAAGTTCACGGAAAGTGGAATTAAAAATAATTTTATTTTGGTGCAAAAGCATTTTGAAATCCATGCATAGTTTTGTTGTTTTTTTTTTTTTTCATAATACCCATTGTCCATGAACTTTCTGAAAATCCCTTATATGCATGGATTTCAAAATGTTGTGGGGGGGGGCTGGGGCTGTGGCATAGCGGGTAAAGCCGCCACCTGCAGTGCTGGCATCACATATGGACCTGGGTTTGAGTCCTGGGTGTTCCACTTCTGAGTCAGCTCCCTCCTAATGTGCCTGGGAAAACAGTGAAAGATGGCCCAAGTCCTTGGGTCCCTGCAGCTGCATGGGAAACCAGAAGAGGCTCCTGGCTCCTAGCTTTGGATCGGCCCAGCTCCAGCCGCTACGGCCATTTGGAGAGTGAACCAGTGGATAGAAGACCTCTCTCTCTCTCTGCCTCTGCCTCTCTGTAACTCTGCCTTTCAAATAAGCTCCAGCAGGGAACTGGATTGGAAGAGGAACAGCCAGGACTCGAACCGATGCCCATATGGGATACTGGCACTGCAGGCAGAGGCTTAATCTTCTATGCCACAGCACCAGCCCCAACAAATAATTTTTTAAATTAAAAATAAATAAATTTATTTTTAACTTCCATTTTCCCTGAAATTTTCCTTCATAATGGTTTTCTTTCACTTTCTGTGGCTGTCACTGCTGTTTCTCCTTGGGTTTTTCTTCGGCTCATCCCTTCCAGAGTTTGGTCCTCGGCTCTCTTCATTATCTACATGCACTGTAAGCAGGTGGATTCATCTTATTCAGTCCTATAATTTCCTTTTTTTCTTATTTTTCCTATAATTTCTATAATCCTGTATTTTCTAACAATCCTAAAGCCTTCCTTTCTAATCTTTACCACCCTCACAAGCTCCTAACCTGTATAACAAAGGATCTTCAAAAAGTTCATGGAGGGGCCGGCCCTGTGGCGCAGCGGGTTAACGCCCTGGCCTGAAGCACCAGCATCCCACATGGGCGCCAGTTCTAGTCCTGGCTGCTCCTCTTCCGATCCCGCTCTCTGCTACAGCCTGGGAAAGCAGTAGAAGATGGCCCAAGTCTTTGGACCCCTGCACCCACGTGGGAGACCCGGAAGAAGCTCCTGGCTCCTGGCTTTGGATCGGTGCAGCTCCAGCCATTGAGGCCATCTGGGGAGTGAACCAGTGGATGAAGACCTCTCTCTCTGTCTCTACCTCTCTCTGTAACTCTGTCTTTCAAATAAATAAAAATAAAAGTTCATGGAGAATGCATATTATAAAAAATTATACACAAATTTAAAAATTTTTGCATCAAAATAAAATTATCTTTTAATTCTATTTTTCCATGAACTTGTGAATTAACTGCTATTTAACAGCTCCTCCTCCTCCCATTATCTCTAGACCAGGACCTGCTCCTACACATATTCCTCTAGTCAGTTACAACAAACAAGCCAGAAGCTTGGGAGTTAGGATTCCCTCTCCCTTATCCACCCATACACATTAAATCAAGCACCAGGCCGTGTCATTCGACATCTCTAATATCTCAAAGCTATCCTCTTTGCTCTACTGCAGCAGCTACCACTTCGGTTCAGGTCATTCAGTGTGTCTCAGTTTAATTACTGAACTGATGTCCAAAACTGGCCTCTTGGGGCCAGTGCTGTGGCGCAGTGAGTTGACTCCCTGGCCTGAGGTGCCAGCATATGGGCGCTGGCTTGAGACCCGGCTGCTCCACTTCCAGTCTAGCTCTCTGCTGTGGCCTGGGAAAGCAGTGGAGGATGGCTCAGGTCCTTGAGGCCCTGCGCCCGCATGGGAGACCCAGGAGAGGCTCCTGGTTCCTGGCTTCATAACGGCTCAGCTCCAGCCATTGCGGCCAACTGGGGAATGAACCATCAGATGGAAGACCTGTCTCTCTCTCTCTCTCTCTCTCTCTCTCTCTCTGCCTCTTCTCTCTCTGTATAACTCTACTTTCAAATAAATAAATAAACCTTAAAAAAAAAAAAAAAAAAGCTGGCCTCTTGTTTTAAGCTGTGGTCCCTTTAAGTCAGACCTTAGCACAACTCATATTTTGGGCCAGATAATTTTTTGTTGTAGAAGTTGTCTTGTGCACTGAAAGATGTTTAGTAATCCTGGCCTCTACCCAGTAGATGCCAAGAGCACCTCTCAACCCTACCAGGTGATAAGCAAAATGTCATCAGTTATTATCAAATGTTCCCTTTTTGGGCACAATCACCCCAGGAGAGAATCGCTACCTTAAATCTCTTCTCCACAATATAACCAGATGAATGGGTTTTCTAAAATGTAAATCAGATCCATCTCTCTCTTGCTTAAAGTCCTACAATGGCTTTCTACAATCCCAGGAGAAAGCCCAAACCCCTTAAATTCAGTTTACACAGCCCTGCATGGTCTGGGCCCTGCTAATGCTCTAATTTCAATTCCAGATCAATTCATTCCAACCAAGGATTCTGAAGAAAATCACACGACCACTCCAGATATTCTGCTACACATTCCTGCATACTCTTGACAATTCAGCTTCCTGCTGCTGTGCACTCTGGGAAGCAGCAGGTGATAGCTCTAGACCTTGGGCCCCTGCCATTCACATGGGATACCCGGATGGAGGTTAGGTTCTTGGCTTTGGCCCGGTCCAGCTCCAGCTGTTGCAGGCATTTCAAGAGTGTACCAGTGGATGAAAAGACTCTCACCTTCTCTCTCTGCCTTTCCAATGAAGTGAAAATAAAGAACAGTTTAAATGAATTATGGGTATATCAGATCATTTTAGAAAAACATACTTTGTTCACTGAGAATAAGATCAGTGGAGACAGAGGCATCTATCTTCATGTAAGGGACTCGTTTCTTAAACAAGACCTGAATAAAACTGTCTAGACTCAGTCAAACTCAGCTGTCAAAAGTAAAAGGTGGCTTAATCCAAAGACTCAAGACTATAAAGAACACAAGCAGAAAGCCCCTTGTTTTAGCACACACTATAATGAGAATAAATCACAGAATGCACTCAGGACATATAAACCAGTCAGGGACTCCACACACCGTTATCAAACAAAAGCCAGCCTGATTCTCATGGGTGTGAAAGTGGAGGAGTCCTAGTTTGGGATTTGTTTGAAAATACCTCAGCAACAGCAATAACCACCACAGCGATGGCCTGCGTATGGTGGACAGTGATAAACGTTGAATCAGAATGATGGGTATGTGGGTTCATTAGATTAGACTCTTCGCTTTAATGTCTGCTTGAAATTTTTCTGAATAAAAACTTTAAAAAGTCAGTTTTTATTAAAAATATTAAAATCAAACCCCACCCACACGTATTACTTCCAAATATGTCAGAGAGCCATTTATTTTAAGTAATTAAAGTATATAAAGCCATTTATTTTAAGTAATATAAAGTATATAGTACAACAGGCTAATTTGGACAGCATCTCTGTTATCTGGGATGGGCTTGCTTTTAGGTTAAGTACAGAGAGTAATCCACTGGGTCATTTCCAACCTAAACATGGTAACAGACTGAGTTTTAAATCTACACCATAACCTTTGGGCTAGGCAGGAAATCTGAAGGTACATTTTAAGTGTTCTTTAACACAAAATAAGCAAACGGCTACAAGCGAAACAGTGCAATTGTTAAAAATACGAAACAAACAAAAAAATTCAAGCAAAACAAATGCTTCCAGAGATGTCTTATTCAACCTAACTGGAAGGAGAGAGCTGCTCGCCTCGCAACTCTGCAAGCAAAGCCTGGCTTTTCCTTACAAAGCAGCTCTCTCCCATTCCCTGAGAACGCTGCAGCACAGTGCTGAGACCAGGTGCAGAGAAACACAGCCGCCTGCAGCACTGAAAACGAATACCTTTCAACATCCACGCTGCACCACTGAACCATGCTAAGACCACAAGCAGCTCAGAGGCAAGGAGAAGAGTCAGAGAAGTCGCCTCACCTGCAGAAGAACTCCCACAAGTCTAGATTCTGAATTCTCTGGATTCTTTTAATTCGGTTGCGATCCATTGTTTTCCCAAAGAGGTTAGCAACTTCATTATATTCATGTGTTTGGTTGTGCAGAGAAATAAGCTGGAAAAGGAATTTTGCACAGCTTTACTACAGCCTTTTCCAGTTTCCTCCACAGTACAGATGGTCAGTGCAGTGCTTACCTGATACGGGACTTCAGTATTCACGTTCTCCCAGTGTGTGGGCATAGGGATGGCTTCATTTTCACAGATGTAACTTCAAACAGCAAAGATAAAACAAATATTAGAAGCCAACTACAATTATTATCAGTGAGTCAGCCCTTCCTCCTAAGCTGATTGCTCATGTTCAGGGTATTATGACAAATGCAATAAACTGTAGCCCTTGGTTTCTTTATTTTAAAATATTTATTGAATTTCTACTGGATACTACTTTTTAGAAGCTGGACTGCTAACTTTAATGAAAAATATCCAATACTATATACCATCAAATTTTCAAAAACAGCTGTTTAGTTCTATCTTGATTTTTTAAAAATTTCTTTAAAATGTAAGGAAGATTTTAGGCAAAGAAAATCACTAAGAAGACAACCAAACTTCCTATTAAAAGAGAGAAGCCGAAAGTCTTATTTATACTTACTTATATTTTTACTTATATTGCATATTTAATAAAATCAAGACTCCTCAGCCATACATTTGATATCCTCCAAGATCTAATTCAAAATTAAATCTTTTTCTGTTTATTGTCTACTATTCTTCTAGATATGCTGTCTACAGTTAATTCACTTAATGCAGTTAGCGAATCTGAAAAACCATGAAACATGTTCAAGCCACTGGATGTGGCCACAGAAGAAGACACCGACACTGGGAGACGGAATAGTGAAAGGCTGATCCTGACACAGGTCTCCCCGGCCCCTGCCATCTCAGGCTTCCTGGAAGAAATGAAGAAATCTGAAACCTAGCTTTAGTTTACTTTTTCTAAACTCATCTTAGTTTTTGAAGAAATCAACATATGACTAAAATGAATGTGAATAAAGAGATGTGCCGACTCTCCCTTCTGTTCCAATGCTTGGCCTGTCCAACTCTTACTTCTTACCTAGACTACAGTACTCACTGCTTTTAGTCTCTTGGGTAATCTTTCAGAACTTCTTTAGGTGAAGTTTTCTGCCCACACAAATGGTATCATCATGTATACATATTCTGTGCCTGGTTTTATTTTACTTAGTATATTCTATGAGAACGTTCCCTATAGTATAAAAAGGAGCCCCATCCCTAAGGTCTCTGATGCAGATTTTATCAGGCCCCAGTCTCTCTCCCTTAGATTGCAACTCCTCTGTGGTGATTTCAAGTCAACTCCTTACTAAAGATTAGCTCAGTGGCCAGTGCTGTGGTGTAGCGGGTAAAACCACCAACTGTGGTGCCGGCATCCCACATGGGAGCTTGTTCCAGACCCAGCTGCTCCACTTCCAATCCAGCTCTCTGCTATGGCCTGAGAAGGCAGAAGATGGCCCAAGTCCTTGGGCCCCTGCACCCACATGGGAGACCCAGAAGAAGCTCCTGGCTTTGGACTGGTGCAGCTCTGGCCATTGTGGCCATCTGGGGAGTGAACCAGCAGATGGAAGACCTCTCTCTCTCTCTCTCTCTCTCTCTCTCTCTCTCTCTCTATGTGTAACTGTGACTTTCAAGTAAAATAAATAAATCTTTAAAAAAAAATTAGCTCATTAAATTAAGTGTACAAGGGTCAGCCTTTCAAGGACTCCAGACTGCAAAACTCAGAATTTAATTGTCTGTTCAGTAACTAATATAATACTACTGCTAGACCCTACTTTGAGTTGTACAGGAACTTTAAGCCCTAATCAAATAAAGCAATAACCAATCTACCCAAGAAGGGCCAAAGCCTACTCTGCATCACAGCATTTTCAGAAGAACACACAAGCCATCTATTGCTGACCAATCCAAGGAAGGTCCCAAGAACCAGGGATCAACCAGAGGCCCACACTCTAACTGAACATGTGTTGCTCAACCTCCATTTGAATCTGTAAGATCCACCGCTCTTGTTCCCTCAAGGAGTCAGGGAATTAAGCCACAGCTGCTCAACTCCTTGCTCTGAGAACTGCAAAAAGACCCTCCTACTTTCTTCCCCCACACTTGTGTCAATAATTGGCTTGCTAAGTGCCAGGCAAATGGACCCAATTTTGGGGGTTCTTTGGCTATTCCTCTAACCAGATTTGGGGGAGCACTGTAACAGGTACATAGAAAGTATCCTCATTTCCAGAGCCTACAACAGAGCCTGGTAAACACTTAATAAATAAAAGCTGAATGAAAGAATGCATCCTATTTCATAAGCACTTAGAATTCCATTGTATAGATATACCATAATTTAGCCAGACCACTATGGATGAGATTTAGCTTGTATTCAACTACTTGTTACTGTGTAAAGAATGCTGAAAAAAAAGCTTGCCCATTTGTCATTTTACAGGTCTCCATTAGTTCACCTGTAGAATAACATCTTTAAAATGAAATTTCTGGATCAAAGCACCTATGTATCACCATTCTGACAGATACTTCCCAAATGCTGTCCTTGAAGGTTAGACAACTGACATCCTCACTGGGAGTACAGAGAATGTCTAATTTCCAACAACCTCTCCATAAAGGCACGTTATCAAACTCGAGTTTCTGTTAACCTAATAGTAAGAAACAGTCTGGTGTTAATTTGCATTTCTTAATTATGAGTATGAACTATTCAAATTCTCTGCCCTAGAGTCCTACAAGTACTTCCTGTACTACAGTGATTAGCACTTCAACTGTAATAATGAATACAAACATATTCTCAACATTTTCTCACTTTGCATAAAGTATCTTTTGGCTATGGAAAAAAACTTCTTATGTAACCCATATCTTTAATTAACTCCTTGCCAAGAGGCAGTAGGTATCTTTGCCTTGCATGTAACAAAGGCTCAATCTGGTACAGCAATAAAGATTTCTCTGTCAGCATCTACCGACCTCCACCTCTCTGTTTACCCTAACTATTCTTCCTTTTTGGTTATTATCTGTGTATTGCCCTCTACTCTGTTTAATTATTCCCTTTCCTGTGTTCCTTCTATGCTTGTACATTTAGTCTAGGACAGAAAAAAGTGCTTCACCCCATCCTGTGCCTCTTCCCCATACCAAAGGCATATCAGATATAACAACACACAATTACAATACCATTTTCCATTATTATGTCTTATTTTTCTCCCAGATTACATATCCTTTTGAAGGTAAGTAATTTTTTTACTATACTCCTTGCACTGAAGAATGTGGCTATGATGTAGCTAGTAAGAAAAGAATATCCTTTGTGTTCCACTGAAGTCCTAGAGCATTCACTATGTAATTATTTGGATAATTTTAAAATAATGATGCTAAAATATAAGCCAAGTTCTGAGAAACAAAATGATAGATACTTAAAAATATTTTTTTCTTTAATCCTTTCAAAATATCTTCTTGGAATGAACAAATGGGCATTCCCTACAATTCACATGTTACCTTTGTTTTTTTTTTTGCCAGTTTCCTTTTAAATTCTTTGAGCAGAAGGAATTTCAATATTTGCCTGAGGAATCATTGCAGAATATAGGAATTATCGCTAAGATTTTTCCCTTCAATTCCATTCACATGAATAGCAAATATTAGTTCTCTTCTGGCATTTATATTTCCTTTTCTCAGTCTAAGCTTCCAGAGAGAGCAAACAGGAAACTTTATAACTCAGATCCAGGGAAGACAAAACTATACTCTTGTCTCACAGTGCTACCATCTTCTTTAGGTCTCCTTTAGTTACTACAGATTCAAAAGCATGTGCAGTGGTTGCTCTATGGGGATCAAGGGAGGTGTAGAAAAGTGGGCCATTACCTGGGATTTATGGTCCAGATAATTGGATGATTCTATGAAAGTCTTTTCAAGTGAACAATTCAAACTTACCTCAGTGGGTTATTTTAAGGATTTATGGCAGAGACCATTAGGTAATTACCATGCAAACCGTTCTGAAGAATTAAAAAATATAAACATACAAGGAGAAAGAAAAAGAGTATCAGGAAAGGAAATATTGACAGGAAATAATAATGTTGCTATTTCATCAACAAATGAGAGATTCAATATTTACAAGACCAAGGTTAAGATCACTGAATGCCCACCCCTATTCTCTTTACAATACCTGAAAGCACTGATAGAAAAGGGAGCTCTTTTTATTAAGCGCTGTTTTCCAGTGGTGAGATTCATTTGCTTCATTTCTGTACACAAGGACAAAGATATCAGATAAGCCACAGGAATGTTAGCAGCCACACCATGAGGTGAGCAGGACACACGGAGCTTTGAGAGTAACTGACTCTAAGGATTCTGTACCATCCATCTATGTATCATGTCACAGAGGTGCTCTCCAGGGGGCACAGCTTCACTGCTCGATCCAAGGTCACATAGGAACATGCTAATTCCACATACTATCCAGCATGCAGGGAATATTCACTTCTGCATCAGTCAGGTTAAACTGAAAGCAGAACAGGAGAGTTCTAAACCTAGGGAAGTTCAGGATTCTAGATAGAAATGACAGTACTAAGTCCTCTAGTTGGTTTATTACGCAGAAAAACATATTTTGATTTCTCTAAAATTTTTGAAAAAATAAAAAACACATCATTCTTAGAAAACTCGCAGAACTCACAGACTTTCAAATATCTGAACATTTCTTGCCTTCTCTTTAAACTGTATGCTTGAACCCAACAGACAAGCTGGCTAGACCCAACACCTACTTATATACAAGATTCTAGGTGTAAGATTAACCACAAGTATCACTTTTGCTTTCATACATGCCTTAGCCGTATCAGTACTGACTAGTCTGGTTCTTCCATTTCTTCATTCCCACAAAGTTAAGTAGTAAGTCTTAATGTAAGATTCTGGCCAGTTTATCTCATTTATTTACCATCATTCCATTCCAAAATAAAGGGGTTCACTCATCCAGGCAAATGCTGGTATGAAGTGTGTTCTGCTCTTTCTGTATTCTCTAAGACTCTGAACACAAAGGGGCTACTACAGGCAAGACCTGTGGTGTCACCTTCTTCAACCACCTTCTTTTAAATTTGCTTTTTAACCATTTTTATAGTGAGAACCTGTGTTGGCTAGAGGCCAAATGGCTGAGGCAAATAAATTTGCAAACAGCATATGTGAAATGCTAATATTTACACCTTTTAATCTGCTTCATTACACACAGGGTTGGGAAATTTGGATTACTAATATATATGACTTCTATTCTTTGATAATGACATATTCTAATAAACTGTATTTTCTGACTGGAAATTTCCACAAAGTGCAGTTTCTTTCAGAAACGTGTGGCTTGTGGAACGACCTATCAGCTGCTTTGACAAACTTCATCATCTACATGAAGCCTGAAGTCCAACACGTATTATTCTGCTTCAGTACTGCTTCCGAAACAGCATTTGCACAAGAGACTAAAACGTCTACCTAACACCTTCCACCTAGGTAACAGCAGAGAGACCAGTGCCGGCACTCCCTGAATGGCAGCATATTTGCCTAATGTTGTTAAAAAAGAAAAAAGTCATAGTTATTCAAGAGTAAGAATCCAATAGCTTTAACTCTTAACAGCAGCAACAACAAAAAGCAGGAACAACAACTTTGGTGGGATGGCACACGTGAGATATTTGGTTGTATCAATCCCTTACTGGGCAAATCTCCTTTACCTTGGTTCATCCACAGAAATATCTTAAGGTTTTACCAACTTGCCCAACCACAAAACATTATTAACACTGCCATAAAGGCACTCATGGAAACTGAGCAAGAATAGGTAGAGAGACAACGAAGCTGTATAGCAATCAAAGTACACACTCATCAGCAATCTTCCACCATCCAGGTCTTGTCTGCCTCTGAGCACTCAACAGTGAAACCTAAGAGGCTGAATCCAATAAGCTTTTTCATGGAATACCAAAAACATGCCCATTTATCATGAATAAAATCCAAAGTGGGGCCAATGGGCAGACAAGCTGGCTAATCTGTGAAAGAGCCAATGAAAGTAGAAAATGGCAGAAGCCTTTTCCATTGAAGAAACAGTTTTAAGGCAAACACACCAAGAGGAGGGTCATTCAGCTAAACCTGGTCTTGACCTATTGTGAGGCATTTATGAGTTTCTCACTTAACATCTCAGTTCGATCTTTAAAATTAAAAGGTTCCTACCTATTTCAGAAGACTAATGTGATGATGAATAAAACAACAGCTATAAGTGTTTGCAGTCCCTAGAAGACAAGCATTACATGAACTCAAAATATATGACAGTCTCCACATACATCAATACAATGAAGTATATACACATGCCTTAACAAAAGGCAATGTTGGTCAAGAAGATTTTAACTCCTGGGTTTTTCTAAAGGGATTTTTGTGAACAAAAAGGATTTACTTCACTGTTTTCAAATATATCATCTAATCTTGAACTTCAGAGCTTTTTTAGTAGATTTTACCATACCAATATACTAAAAACACACAACTATTAGGGAAAAAAACATACCTGCAAAGTCTATCTTGTAGCTGAATTTGGAAGTAGTAAAAGAAATGGAGCCACAAGGATTTGTTTTGAAGCTTTTTTCGATATCTTCACTGCTAACTGAACACTGAATGTTGGTATCCGGCTTTAAGACAAACCAGAAAGTTTTATTTACCAGCTGTTCACATTAATGACCTGGCCACAGAGGTGGTATTGTGGTCACAGAAACAGGGAATGGACGGAGGAGGGAAACTTACTGATCACCTTTTCTAGTCCCTAGCATTTAGGGAGGATCAGCATACTGAAAATCATTTATGGATTTCCAGTGAAGAAACAACCAGTTATAGTCCCTTTGTTCAAATTATTATACTTTTTACAAAATATTCTAAAAACCATGCTTTCTGAGTGGCTCAAATTAAATTAAATTTTCTTTTAAATAGCTCGGTGAGGCTCAAAAAAAAAAAAAAAAAAAAAAAGACTGCAGGTTTTTGCATATGGGTTCAAATCTGAGCTTAACCATCTGAGTGACCCTGGACAAATGATGTTAACTTCCCTGAGCCTCACTTTCTTTGATGGGTAAGACAGTGTTAACACCTGCTTCAGAGTTGCTGTGAGGATGAAGGAGAAAGTCTACATATGAAACCTAACATAATACCTAGAGTGTAGAAGGTGTTGACTATGAACTTGACCTTCCTGCTCTCTTTGTCCACCAAATCAAACTTGGAGTTGCTCAGACATACTGACACCAAGCAACTCTCAGTCACATTTACCCTCTGGACACACAGTGACCATGCTGTTTATCTAAATAAACTTACTCTGAAAACTGGGGAAAAGAAAAGGAAAAGGACTAGACAAATTTCTAACTTTTCTCTTAGTTATGCTACTTGACTTCCTTAAGGTTTGATTTCTTCCAAGTTCTGCACTCTTCTTATGCACTGTACAAGGGGTTCTCAAAAAGTTTACGGGAAAATGCTAATATGAAAAAACTACATGTGGATTTCAAAATGTATATACCCCAAACAATTTAAATTGTATTTTTCACAAACTTTGAAGTCCCTTCATATAACTCAGCAAGATGATACTAAGTGAACCTAAACCCCTCCTGCTAAATTCAAGGGAAGAAGATACCTGAAACATGTGCCACTTCCCACACTCTGCCAAGTAAAACCAGCCCCACTGTGTATCTGATGTGTCCATGTCATCCATTTCACTGTCCATTGTTTTGGGAAAGAATTCTTCTGCTTTGTGAAACATCTCCTGAAAAGTCAGAGAGGGGTGGTGGAAGAAATAATCTCATTAATAATTACGGTACTTTCTAAACATCACTTTACTTCTTTATAAACAACCATATTCCAAGCGTCTTTCTCACACTGACACTCTAAAAACAGCATTCTAAATTCTATTGGCTCTGAAGAAAAACATTTTAAAATGCCAAGTATCACTACTTTAACAAATCAGGCAAATAATAATCACATTAGGTAAAACATATCAGTGCCCACTGAAATACTTTAAGTACATGATATCCACATCTACATGCACATCAGGTTTTCAGTATATCCCAAGGAATTTCTATTTTATCATATGTTCACTAACAGTTAAGATCAAATGCAAATGATTTTTGTTCTAAAGTCATTATTTCATTTAATGGCATGGGAAGAGGCTATATGTAAAAAATATGATCTTGAGTACAAAGTTATAAAAATAGAAATAGTTTGATCCAATTTTGATGAAAATAAATCTATATTTACCCATATGAATGTATATGTGTATGTGTGTATATACACATATATGTTTACAGACACATAAATAAAAAAAGTCTGGCTGCATGTACAACCATTTGCCAGAATGCTTGCTAAGTTTTAAAATAATACCAGCTAGTCCTCACATGGCTCTTACTTGGTGCTAAGTGCGGTTCTCAATACTCTGCAGACAATCATTCATTTAGGCCTCACAACCACCTATATGAGACAGGCACTATTATTATTCCAAATTCATAAATGAGGAAACTGGAAGCAGAAAGGTCATACAATGGGGAGCCAAGATTCAAAACCAGTCTGGTTCCAGGGTCTGTGCACTTGACCAATACTGCCTTATACTTCATTATCAAGTATTGATTATAATTTTAACTATACCAATTAAGTCACATACACAATACCTTTGAAAAGTTTTTAAATACTCATAGGTGGATATTTTGATGAAGAAGTCACTAGAAACTGAACAAAGAGGCTAGTCAAGGAAGATTAAACTTTATATGGAATGCGCCTTCCTATCCTTATTCTTTCAGTGCACTAAAATTATTCATTTAAATCTGCACAACTAATAGATGAGAACATTGTCCTTGTAAAAACTCACAACATTCATGATAAAGCTGAAGACCTTTCTGATCATCACTTCCATCTCTGAGACCTCTCACCTGCCTTCTCTCCAAGGTTGGCCAATGCTATCAATTTACCATATACCTTTTAGACCTTGTCTAGGCCATGGGTCCCTCCCTACAAAATGGAAAATTAAAGGTTGCCTCCTCATCTGGATGTTATTAGAACAACAATGAAATAATGTAGGAAAGTATCAAGTACAGTACCTGACTGAGCTCAATGAATGGGCCTTGTTATCTTTTTAAATTTTATTCATGTTTGGAAACTCTCTCCAAGGAATATTTATTATTATTTTCTGGTTTTTATTTCTTCATGTTTTAAAGTTGATTGGCTGCTAAGAAATGAAAAACAGAACACCCTAGGATCAAGAACTTCAGGTTCAGGATTCCCTATTTACTTTACATATGTAACTAGATAATAAAGACGATTTAACATTTCAGATCAAGTGCCCAGTTAAACATTCACAAGCTCTGATTCTTGTTTCCATCATTGGTCATATTACTTCACTGAGACAGAAAGAGACACACAGAAAGTAAGAGTGACCGGAATTCAGTTTTTTCTTCTGAAAATAACCAGAAAATTTTAGAAAGATGAATTTGAAGCAAACAGTTAAGATAAATATTTAGCTTATGCGTTATTTTTCCACTAAAAAAAGGAATGGAAATAAGAAAAGAATCCTTTATAGAGCATATGCACAACATGTGTGCTCTGCTACTTCGCACTGTCCTCAAGACCTTACTTTAAGCCAGATGACAAGCAAAAGTGTTCTAAGGAAGTCCTTCAGGAATTCTTCGTAAGCAGCTGTGGGTGGGACCTAGGGGAGACCCCTCTTATTTTCATCCTATTTTAGAGAGGCCAGCACTACAGACAGGGAGCATGACGTTGAACACACCTGAAGCACTTCAAATTTTCTAAAATTCTTTGTTTACACAACCTTTTCCTCCACAACCCAACAGGCGGGTGAAAGAAGTCACTATCTTCCACTTAAAGTCAGGAAAAGATCAAAGCACAGAATAATACCAATTTTTTGTCGAGCATCAGAGTTAGTAAACAGATTAAAGAAAGCCCAAGGCCTCCTGAGCATCGGTTCTTCCCCAGTTTACCAAGCTCCACTGCCATGTTTTCACAGATGAAGAGCTGTTCCTTCTCTCTGTTGCCAAGCTTAACTTCATTCCTTTGCTTCACAGATGCACTGTCTTTCAAGACTCATATTGAAAAGAATGAGAAAACCTATTCTGCAGACAGCACTAAGGGTGTGACCAAGTGACCACTGGATTAATATGGGTATGAACCATGAACTTACACCACAGCAGGAGACCTGCCAGTCTGAACAGAAGAGGAAGGAGACAGGAAGGAATGGACAAGGCTGTTGAACTTGGATTTTACAGGATGGGACCACAGAGCTACATTCAACTGCAAATACATGCTATTCTTCAAGACATGGGAAGAAGGACACTGAAAGCAATGTGGAGATCAACAAGGTTGCCTCCTTGGTTTAAATGAGGGGCAAAAAGAGAAGGGTTTTTCACCTTGCTTTCAAAAAGCAGAATGGCATATCCTGAAACTATGAAAGCAGGACCACCGAAAGCCCTGGGGATGACACAGGTCAACCACAACAGGTCCAGAATTCAGGACATTTGCCCCAGTGGGTCTGAAAGGCAGAGCATCCATCCCAACAGATTATAGTAATCTCCAACCTTAAGATCTCATGGAGCTTGCCTGGGACCTGTCATTCCTCTCTTCTTTCTCTCCCTTTTGCGGTAGGAGTCTTTCCTATGCTTACTTCACCACTGTATTTCAGAACTATGTAATTGTTCGGTTTCACAGCCAGAGAGGAATTTGTCTCACGATGAAAAAAACAAAACAAAAACCAACCTTGAGTCTCTTCCATATCCGATTTGGGTGATATTCAGATTAAACGCTGGAACTTTAGAGTTGATGCTGGAATGAGTTAAAACTTTGGGGATGGCCGGTGCCATGGCTCACTAGGCTAATCCTCTGCCTGTGGCGCCAGCACTCCAGGTTCTAGTCCCGGTCAGGGCGCCGGATTCTGTCCCGGTTGCCCCTCTTCCAGGCCAGCTCTCTGTTGTGGCCCGGGAAGGCAGTAGAGGATGGCCCAAGTGCTTGGGCCCTGCACCTGCATGGGAGACCAGGAGGAGGCACCTGGCTCCTGGCTTCAGATCTGTGCAGCACATGGCCATAGCGGCCATTTGGGGGGTGAACCAAAGGAAGGGGAGGGAGGGAGGGAGGGAGGGAGGGAAGGAGGGAAGGAAGGAAGGAAGGAAGGAAGGAAGGAAGGAAGGAAGGAAGGAAGGAAGGAAAAACTTTGGGGATGACTGAGATGGGACAAATGCATTTTGCATGCAAGAATAACATGAATGGTGTGGGACAGAGGCAGAATGTTTGTATGTCCCCAAAATTCCTATGTTGAAATTCTAATTCTCAATGTGATAGTTTATAAGGGTAAGACTTGGGAAGGTGATTATGTCACAAATACAGAGCCCTCACGAATGGGATTAGGGCCCTTCTAAGAGACCCCAACAGCTCCCTTCTCCCTTCTGCCATGTGAAGACCCAGCAACACAGCTGTTTATAACCCAACAAGCAGGTTCTCCCCATTTACCAAAGCTGCCAGCACCTGCGTCTTGGACTTCCAACCTCTAGAACTGTGAGAAAAAAACTCTCTTGTTTATAAGCAACCTAGTCTATAGCATTCTGTTATAGCAGCTCAAACAAAGACATATACATGTTAGAACAAAAGACAACAGCAAAAAGATCATCTTAACACATACAGAAAACAAATTTGACAAAAACCCAATACCTTTTCATGATTTAAAAAAAAGTTATCAATTAGGAATAGAGGGAGAACTTTCTCAACTTGAAAAAGAGGAATTACAAAAATCCCACAGCTAACATCATAATTAAAATTCGAAGATGGAATATTTTCCCTCTAAGATTAGAAACAAGACAAGGATACCTGCATTTACCACTTCTATTTAAATTAGTACTGGAAGTTCTAATCATGGTAATTATTTAAGAAAAATAAAATGCAACTAGATTAGAAAGGGGTAAAGCTATATATACAGTGACATATCTTTGTGCATAAAATTCTTAGGAACCACTATTAGAACAAACAAGTTCACGAAGTTTCAGGATATAAAAATCAATATAAAAATTTCTGTATTTCCAAACATTAACAAGGAACATTCAAAAGATAAAATTAGATGCAGATGTTTGGCACAGCAGTGAAAACACAATTTGGGACCAGCACATCTTAGAGTGCCTGGGTTTGATTCCAGCTCTGCTTCCAATTTCAGCTTCCTGCTATGCACTCCCAGGGAGGCAGCGGGAATGGCCCACATACTTGGATCCCTGTCACCTACACAGGAAACACAGACTGAGCTCCAGCTCCTGGCTTCAGCCTGGCCCCATCAGGCTGTTATGGACATCTGAAGAGTATACCAGTGGATTAAAGATCTGTCTGTCTCTCTAGCTTTCAAATAAATTTAAAAAGAAACTTTTAAGATGAAATTAAAACAATCTCTTTATGAATAACACCAAAAATATAGAATATTTAGGTATAAATTTAATAAAAGATGTGTAAGACATGGGCACTGAAAACATCATTACACTATTGAAAGAAAATCTAAATACAATTTTTAAATTCCATGTTCATGGCTCAGAAGACTTAGTATTAAGATAACAATACCTCCCAAATCTAGATTTAATGCAATCCCTATTGAAATCCCTGCTGGTCTTGTCGCAATAATTCATCAGGTGATCCTAAAATTCATATGAAAATGCAAAGGCCGGTGCCACGGCTCACTAGGCTAATCCTCCGCCTGTGGCGCCAGCACTCCAGGTTCTAGTCCCGGTCGGGGCG